AACTGGCAAAAGATTCTCAAAGTAAGGGACAGACCAAGCTAAAGGTTAAACCTAGGATGCTGCCAGTAAAACATAATAACTTCAGTGCCAATATCAAACCAAGGGTGCAACTACAAGACCCTTCATTAAAACCTCATAAAGGGGGCCGGCCTGGTGGCACACTGCTACAGTGTGCTGCTTGGGAGCACGGCGGCGCTCCTGCCGAGGGTTCGGATCCCACATACAGACCGGTTCCTGCTCACTGGCTGAGCGAGGTGCGGGCGCAGCACCAAGGTTTGCGATCCCGTTGCCGGTCCCGGTCCGGTCCGGGCGCGACACTGAGAGTTGCGATCCATTGCCGGACACGAAAAAAGACAAAAAGGGGAAAAAAAAAAAAACTCATAAAGGGTTACCAAAGAAAGGGGATTGGGGGTGAGGGCGCCAGGGAAAGGTTGATAGACTGGTACAAAGTTACAAAGGTACAAGTTAGATAGGAAGAATAAGTTCTAGTACTCTAGGGTGACAATAACTAATAATATTATATTATATATTTTAAGAGAGCTAGAAAAGAGGATCTTGAATGTTATAACCACAAAGAAATGCTAAATGTTTAGGTGATATATATGTTAACTATTCTGATTAGATCATTATATAATATATGCATGTATTAAAACAAGCTGTACCCCATAAATATGTACAATACAAAATCTACCACAAATTCATTCATTGTTCGAAAAAAAAACAAAAACCCAAAAATAACTCATAAAGATGACTCTTCATGTTCCCACACAGCTAGATGAAAGGAATTCTAGAATCTTAAGTGTATTGTTCATAGCACCATAACTTGCAGACAAAAGTAGAGGGCTACCTCAAAGAGATGTGAAGGTGTGGCTTTTGATTAAAGGGGTGGTTTATAACTTGATATATAAAAATCCCACAACATTCTTAATAGAATTGTATCCACTTGGACCCAAAGGGACAAAGACAGTCTAAAATGAAAAGAGGCCTGTGGGCTCTCAGATTCCCACAGGCAGAAAGCAGTCTAGGAGAGCTACTCAGCTGCAAATATAAGCCATTTTTCAATAAGCACACAAAGATATGCTCAACAGCATTATCCTCTACGGGATACAAATCTAAACTACAATGAGCCATCAATTCACAAACACTGGGATGGCTACAATTTTTTAAAATGTGCAATACCAAGAGTTGGCAAAGAGGTAGAGAATTAGGAATCCTTACCCACACTGCTAGTAGGAATGTAAAAAGGTCCAGACTCTTTGGAAAGTTAGGGTGTTCCTTAAAAAGTTAAACAAGAATTACTATACGACCCAGCAATTCTACTACTACACATATAAGCAAGAGAACTAAAAACATATGTAAAAACAAAAACCTTATACATGAATTTTCAGAGCATCAGCATTCATTCTGGCAAAAAAATGGAAACAACTCAAATATTTATCAATTGATAAATAGATAAACAAAATGCAGTATAGGCATATTATGAAATGATTCAGTCATAAAATAGGAATAAAGTACTGATACATGCTACAACATAGTTGAACCTCAAAAACATGCTACGTGAAGGAAGTCAGTCACAAAACGCCACATATGAAGGAAAAGCTACCCTTTATTTTTATTTTGGGGTCAGGAAAAGCCTTTATAAGGAAATGAATGTATTTGCTTGTGAGAAGGACATGAACTTTGAAGGCCATGGGCAGAATGATAAGGATTGAATTGTGTCCCCCAAGTTTTATATATTAGAAAGTTAATCCCACTAACAGGGTTAAGAGAGTCGGAAATCCTATTATGGTAGCTGAAAGGTAGGACCTTAAAGAGTTGATTAGATTGTGAGGACTGCGTCCTTGAGAATGGATTAATACATTGATGAGTGGTCATCGGCATGGTTCTGAGGGTTTAAAAAAAGCAGGTGAGAAGTTCTCTGTCTCTCTTTGCTCAAGCAATCCACCATCTCACAATGTGAATCCCTGGGTCACTGAAGTCACTACCAAAGAAGGACCCACCAGATATGTTCTCTAGATTTTGGATTTCCCAGCCTCCAAACCTGTAAGCAATAAATATTATTTCTTTACAAATTACCCAGGTCCAGGTATTTTTTTTATAAGTGACAGAGATGGACTAATACAGAAAATGTGTAAAAGGTTAGTAACGCGAGGAACTCTACAGCCAGTGTAGATGGAATGTAAGAACACTGTGACAGGTAAACTTGGAGAAATGGGCCAGTTTATGCAGGACCTTTAGGTCATTGAGGTGATTTGAGGGCTCCAATAAATAGCACCCCATTTTCTACATAGATTCTGAGAAATAAAATAGCCAACTTAGCAGATGGGTATCAAAGTATTACTTGTTTTATGTATGAAGCTAGGTCAGAAATCGAAGCTTATTTGAGGGCTAAGCAAGCCTGCTAACCTCCAACTGCCACCATCATCCCCTAGTCCAAATTTTGGAACAGCCACTTCCAAGCAAAGTTCTAGCACGTACAAATACCCAGATGGCTGCTTCCCACTGTCCGGATGCAAGAGGAAAAAGGAATGTACTCCTTTGTCGACTGCATTTGATAGATCGGCTCCACCCAGTCAAGAACTATAAAACAAAAAAATCTCTTCAACTCTGTGAGAAAGATAAATAGTGAGGTAAGAAGCCAAAGCATTTAGGAAAAAATACCTCCTCTTGGAAATCAGAGTAGCAGAACCAAATGAGTTTTCATCTAACAGTTGCATTAAGGATTTTAAATAGAAAAGCATTAAACGGTTTTGAACAAAAATGGCCTGATTTATGTTTAAAAATACCACTTTGGGTGCTGGGTGGAAGATGAACTGGATGGGCAAGTGCAGAAGCAGGGAAAATAATCTGTCAAATCAGGGCTGATTCATATCTACTGGATGCTTCTGGCTTCAAATTAACAGAAACTCAGATTCAAGGTAATAAATTTATCATCTCATATAACTAGAAGCTGAAGTTGGTAGGCTCCAGATGTGACACCAGCAGCTCGATGATGTTATCAGGATCTTTAAGTCTTTTGTCTTTACTATTTTTGGTGTTGTCTTTACCTTAAGGTTAATTTCATCTCTTGATTTGCTACCAATAACCATTGGGACTACCTATTTTCATATTCACATATTTCAGT